CTCCCACCCAGCTTGGTGTTGTCTGCAAAAAGATATATTCTTTATATTTTTTTAAAAAATTGATAAAAAGAATGAAATGAACATGAAATTGGTTATAGGATCTTCTTTCAAAACAGAAGAATGTATTTTATAACCTTTTGCATATTGAGACTGATAATATTTATGATAACCTCAACATTTGCAAAATGTTATTATTTTTTTTGACTTTTTGCATATCGCATAGGAGACAAAACATCAGATTAAGAGAAAAGTGACTCTATATAACTATGCATACATCATAATAAATGTTAAGCAGAAATTTTGTGAAAAATTACTGTACATTTTTAAAAAATTTAATGTAATGATATAATGTGATGTAATGATTTTCTTCTTTTTTTAAGTTTTTTTATCATTAACTTAAAGGCCAGTTTTGAGGAGAAACCTAAAAAGTAACTGGTTTAAAATCAAACCAACTAACCTAATTCAATTATTTGCTCGAAGTCCTCAAGAAGGTTCATTAAAGACAAAGATAGTGAAAAATTTCTCTCTTAACATCATATTTTTAAGATCTTATTGATCTTATTTTCTAGTTTTAGAGCCGCAGAATAGTAAACTGTATTTCCTAAGTTATACTTTAAATGTTAGATCAAAAAAAGTTAGAAGGCCACCAAAATTCAGGGTTGGAGAAATCAGCCCAGCACTACAAAGACTCCAGAGGGTCTGTGTTTTCATCCTTCCTTTGACTCTGGTACTTGTGCATTAAGATTCTTTCTTTTAATTCTTCACAATTCTTTCCTGGAAGGGGGAGGGGGAGCAAAAGGAAATAATTATGTTTTGTATCTGTTTCATAAGACCTCTTTAATGATGTGGAGTGATATACAAAACCTATTTCAACTTTAATAGAAATTGAAGTTTTTCTCTGGCTGTGCTCAGACTTTGCTATAGAAATGCAAAGCATTCTCAACTTCTTGTTTGTAGCAACTAAAAAAATAATCATGCAAAGACAATGAACTGAGTGATTGATCAGCATTAGCTAACTTGTGGCACCCCCATTCCCCAGGGGGTCACCTACCCTGCCTGCCACGGTATTTGGAGCAAGTGGGCCCCCCCATTAGAAAGAAGTAGGTTAGCAACCACTTCCTTTTGTGGTAAGTAACTTTCTATTTTTTTCTTTCTTTCACTTGTAATGTAGAAGTATTCTGAGCCTAAATTTTTCTCCCTTTTCATCCACACATGTCTTGTTTTGTAGGTTCCTATGCAGGAGCTGTTATTGCAATGCCTTTAGCTGGAATTCTAGTGCAATACACTGGGTGGTCTTCTGTGTTCTATGTGTATGGTATGCATTTTTGCTCATCTCACTCCAGCATTGTATGACCTTACTCTATCATTTCTAAAAATACAAAAGCTACTGTTAAGAGGCCAAAAAAGAAGAGAAATGGGTCTGTAAAGCTAAAAATACAGTCCAGAGAAAAGGACAGTGAAAGAAAGAATTTAAAGAAGAGAGTAGGAAAGTAACATTATTAAATAAGAAGAGAAGCTAGTTCATGGTGAAACCTTCATCGTTTCTAGTACAAGTAGTGCAAACTACTATGCAGATCTATAGAATTTCTGATCATGTAACGTCGCTCTTTCATTTATACAAGTGTAAGTTTAGAGTGTGTGCCCTGCCTAAGATGTCCTGATTTTTATCTGAAGACCTACATAACTATATTCACACTAGTTGTGCTACCTTAACTTACACTGTTAGAAAAGAATGTCCCAAAGGAGTTCATTCTGCAGTGTAAAATTGATGTGAATTAGGGAGAAACCTTATAGAAATGTAGTAAACTACTCAGGAAGTGCATTGCTATGTTGAAAACAATGCCACAATCTTGTACTTTGCAGGTAAAAAATTTAGTGTGGTAATCAAACAACAGTGGCTTAAAGCAGAATGGAACTTAATTTACAGTCTAGTGAAATGAAATAGAAGCTGTTTCATTGCATTGTATTGTACAAATTGATGTCAAAATATCAGTGAATATTCACTTACAGTGAAATCATTCTGTAAATGAAATGAAGACTTCACTGCGCTCCAGCTCTGCATATATTTTGCACAAATACTGCTTACAGGATCTGACTCTTAGTTAGGATGACTCAGTAGAGAAGCAGCAGCAACAACAATTGCCATTTAAATTTGTTATAATTATTCACAGATTTTTTCCTTGTTTGTTGCTTTACTGTACATTTCTTTTAAAAGTCTTACTTTTCATTCCAAAGGGAGCTTTGGTATAGTCTGGTACATGTTTTGGCTTTTGGTTTCATATGAGAGTCCTGCAAAGCATCCTACAATCACAGATGAAGAAAGGAGATACATAGAAGAAAGCATTGGAGAGAGTGCCAACCTCCTAGGTGCAATGGAAGTAAGAATACTACTCACACACTTGTTTCCTTTGAGATAGTAATAAAACCCAAAGAACTCAAATAGAAACAACAACAACAAAAAAATCAAACACCTTTCTTCTTTAAGACATAAAAGCAAGTTTCAAACAACTGAATTTTTTTAGTCGTGGGAGGATTTGAAATCTGCTGATGGATTTCTAGGTGGATATTGCTTCTGCACAATGAGAATACATGTTCCAGTTGTTCTAGTAGATCACTCATGGAATTTATGCTTCTTTTTCTATTCCAAAATATAAAAAAGAGCTAGAGCTACATTTGAAATTGCAGCTGTATTGAGACTTTTAAAGTATCTTGAGTTTAAGTGGTTCATTTCCTTTCTATATAATCCTTTCTGGAAGGATTTCCTCTTCCTAAAAGTAAACTGGAAGAAAAGCACTACTTAGTGTGCCTGGAGGTCCTCAGAACATCAGAAAAAGCAAATCCTGACTATTCTATGTTTCATTTGCAAGAAAGACTGCAAGTTGCAATAGAACATGCTAGGAGACCCATAAGAACATTCCCCATTATCATGTTAATTTTGCTGGAAACATGCTATCAAGCCTTTCATAATTTGACTTAGTTCTGAACTAGTTTAGTTCTCAAGAACTCCTAAAAAATCAGCTATGGAGTCAGAGAATTTTCCAGCCACTTAACAATCCTATCATGCTAACTAAAAATTTTCTTATTTCTCTAACTATTGAAAAGCTTTAAAGAAACTATCACCATGCTTACTCACTCAAGAAAACGAACAAAAATTTGTCTAAGCCTCAGCGCATCTGCTCAAGTTTTTGCAGAATCCATTCCCAGTAGACCCTCACTACCAGCCTACATTATGTTTTCTAATTGGTCAGGACATTGGTTCTTGACTGAACTCAGGAATAAACCATTTTTCTCTTAGTAAAAAAAACTTTGATCCAGATTAAATAGGGAACTGGAAATATTAGAGAGTCATTTATTTGATAGATGACATTTTTAGGTGTTCTTGAGTGAGCTGATATTCAATAGCATTCAGCAGTGTTTGTGGTTTCTTACATCTATGACTGCTTTTGAAAATCTGACGTGAAATGAAATGCTTCAAAGGACATCCATATAATTCTAATTTGGGCTAGATAATTTCTGTCTATTTTTTATTGTTGCTTTTTAATTAAACATTTTTTGTAAGTTATTAGTTTGTATCAATAGTTTAGTTGCTTCTAAAATATTTAGGCTGAAATTCTTCCCATACTATGAAGTTAGCTTTTCTGTCTGGCTGCTCATTAAGTCAGTCACACTTAATCCTTAGCTCTCACTTAAGTGCAATTTAATAGTCATACAAGGTATTGCATATATCCATCTATGGGCTGTTTTTCTTTGAAGAAAAGCCAGTATTCAAATCAACAGTAGATTAAATTCAGCCTGAAACCTTGCTGAAGAGATTTTCAAACACTCATCTGGGTCTGGATCCTGTATTTGGATCAACACAGATGGGCAGAACCCTGGGCTCGTGGAGAGGTGCTGCGACTCAGCAGGATTGTAGTTTTGTCCATCTGTCATTTTTTTTTTTTCTCATTATGCAATTTATTTTAAAAATACAATAAAACAAACAAAAAATACATTGAGGAAGCAGTTTCAGCTGAAGGTTGATAAAAAAATCATTCAGAATGCTGGGATTAAGAATGCTAAATACATGCTTAAAATAAATCTGGATGAAACTGTGTACTTACAGTGTAAACACTGACTTCTGCCTTAGGTACAGCAACATCGTCTTTTAAAGACATATTATTTTGGACTTAGTATGTTCATGTTTACATGATTGAGATAACGGCACGTGTACACGAGTGTTGTGATACAGCTAAGTATCACTGAGTTTCTCCGCTTGTGCATTTTGTAGTAATTTTTCCTTGCTTATCCTTTTAAATTAAATCTTGATCATCAATATGTGGCTACACTTACTTTATGATAATTGAAGTCATTGGAATTCAGATACATAAAGCTGTGCATATATGAGCTTATTGGAGTATAGGTAAAAATAACAGATAGGAAAAGGGAAGATAGTCGATAATGACCAAAATGGTGACTGGATCCCCCTTTCTATGTTTCAGAAATACAAAACTCCATGGAGAAAATTTTTTACATCTATGCCAGTCTATGCAATAATTGTTGCAAACTTCTGCAGAAGCTGGACTTTTTACTTGCTGCTTATTAGTCAGCCGGCTTACTTTGAGGAAGTGTTTGGATTTGAAATAAGCAAGGTATGTAAAAATAATGTAAAGCTTTTCTCTTAGCTAAGTAAATATCAGAGCAACATTTGTCGTATTTATTAGGAGGAGGAAAGAAAAGTGTTCTGTGCCTTCATCATGGGTTTACAAGTCTTAAACCTTGTCGCTCCCAGTTACTGTTCCCTTGACGAGCACATATAAGTGAAGTAACAACAATGACAAAGGATGGGATAGGGGAAGGTGAAGGCAGGATGAGATTATTGATAATCTACTTGGGGCCATAGTGCAAAAAGACCTTCAGTTAAGTGCTTGAAACCAGACCATGCATGGTATTAGAAGGAGAGACCCATTACATTTCTGTCCCTGACACTCCAGGGGATGCAGGATCCCACCAAAGCTGTAAAGAAAGCATTGACAAGTGGTTCCATTTTTCCAGGTGCATTTTACAAAGAACACCTAGTTTTAGGAAGGATAGTACAATTTATCTCCTTTCTATATCCCCCTTTAATGTGGCGAGAACTGCTCCCTCTTTTTCACTTAGGAAGCAAAAGTGATGGTGAAAAAATATAAGACGCAGAGCTGATCTAAGGCTCCACATAATTCATATTAATTTTGGATCAGACCTGTAATGTAAATATGGATACATGCAAATAAGCCTTCAGAGTGTCAGATTTCCTTCTTGTGAAAGTGATAGGCGCTTGTGCTTTTCAGAGACCTGTATTCTTTTGATATTGTTCCATGAGATACTGTCACCCTAACTTGTGGTGTAAGTGACAATTAAATGAGTAGCTTCCAAAGCGTTGCGGTATTGTGGAGTATTGTCAAAATTGTGTAATGCCATCCTGCATTTAAAGATGGGCTTCCATCTTTAGCTGGAGCAAATGACAGCAAAGTCAGTTTTCACTTGCTGTGGATATGGATGCTTATAAATGAATAGTTATCATTTAGTCAGGAACACCTCAAAGCAGTAACTGCAATGCTGATACTAATATCTGATTTATTGGGAGAAACATCTATTAGCATGAAGCTAGCTGTCCCAACATAGTTGCTACATATATAAACTGCAGTGAAATACACAATTGCACAACTTTAATTGAAGAGTAGAGAAAACTTGTTTTCTTTTTGTTCTCGTGGAGCCTGTCTGCTCTACACGCAATGTAACTCCAGTCAGACGTCAGGCCAGCTGATGCACTGTTCAGACAGGAATTAAGCAAAAACCTCTGTGCTTGAGCACTTTTTCAGATATACACAATAATCAGAATTCCCTATTAGAACAAAATGCCATGCATACTAAAGCAAACTATCTGCAAGGCAGTTATATTGACAGGAGATAGTAGGTGGTAGGTCTTCAAATATGTCATCATTTCTTGGAACAGTCATCACAAAATTACTGTCTTACTTTGCCAGTATGTATAGCACTTTGAGTATTGTCAACTGATGTTTAGTATGTTATCTTTCACTACACACAGACATATCTTTTGCCCACGTGAAATTTGAAGCTTGAGGTTGGTCAGAAATCAAAGGCAAATGGCCATTGTGCATGTGAGGATGATCCACAGGGAATCTTTCTAGACATGTTAGGTTTGGTGGGCAATGCTACGCCAAACACATCACCAACAGAAATGCAGCAATTCAGTTTAACACATTTGACCATAAATTTTCTGAAAAGAAAGGGCAGAGGGGCTCTAAGTCAGGGGAAAAAAGCCATTAGTTTAAATATAAACTGTGAAAAAAATCTATAAATAACAAGTGTCACAGCATGAGAGGTTCTTAAAGACTCTGGCTGTCCATAAATACAATGACAACTTAAGATCATCAGGTTTGTTCATTTAATAAACCAAGTTAAGATTTTTGGGTTTAGCACATAGCCTGAAATTGAAGAGAAACAATTAATTAGTTGCTGAATGCTTCAGAAAATGAAGAATCAGTATTTATATGGTTTACACTCTGCTAATTCTAATGATTATTTTAGGTGGGTATCTTATCTGCTGTGCCACATTTAGTGATGACAATTATTGTTCCTATTGGGGGACAAATTGCAGACTTTTTAAGAAGCAGGCAGATTCTTTCAACCACTACTGTGAGAAAGATAATGAACTGTGGAGGTAAGTCTTCCTATTTTATTAAAAAGCTTCTTGTACATATTCAATGTCCATATACTATGCCATATACAGTAAACAGACTGCATGGTTTTATGTACTTATGAAGCAATATTTTGTGCATTTTTTGTGTATTACAGATGTGGTTACTAAATAGAAGTAAACACAGTCGTTTCTATTCCCAGTTTCAATATAGATGTTTGGTATTTGAAAAAGTATTTAGACTGTTAAAGAAACAGATGAGCTTTTGTGGGGTAATTTGTCTACCCTTAGCTGCTTACTGAATCTTAGCTCCTCATCTAAACACGCTCTGCACTAAGAGAGCCCAGACAAGTACCTGAGATTACACACCTGACTTCTGAGAGGTTCAAGTCACATGAGCTGAATCCTGGCTGTGATAAGGGCTGCAAAATTCATAAGCAGGTTAAGTGTGTGTTCCCATTAGGGCTGGCTGGAACGACCTAATGAAATCACAAGTATTTCTTTTCATCTTAAAATTGACAGGAAGTAACAATAAATTAGCATACAAAGAACACAATAAAGATTACTTGAGATAGCAAGATCCTGTGGTTTTTAGGGATGAAAGAAATACCAATTATATTCCACTCTAAGGTAATGTTTTGCCTCTGTCTTCCTATGAAATATTACCATATCCTAAGGCCTGCAACATTTGAGAGGGAAGCAAATCTGATGCCTAGTTTTCTTTATGATTTCCCCAGGTTTTGGCATGGAAGCAACTCTTCTTCTCGTGGTAGGATATTCTCACAGTAAAGGAGTGGCTATTTCGTTCTTAGTGCTTGCTGTAGGCTTTAGTGGATTCGCCATATCTGGTAAGATTATATTACTGTTATTACTAAATTCTTTCATCTTAAGAGACAGAACCTCTCATTTGGTTTTTATTCATTGACAGTAATTTAAACAAACCTCAGAATTCCAAATGACATTATTTATGATCATTACAAAGGAAAGTACAATCAGTACCACATCTTTTATATTAGATTATTTTTGTTCAAATATTTCAATCTTTTCCACATTCATTGCAGCAAATCAGACTTTTTTTTTTTTAGTAAGGTGCTAATGTACACCATTGATTTTTCTTGAAATCAAACATATTACACAAGTGGACTGATATTATACAATGATATCTAAATGTACCCATCTTGGTTTAAATATAGGCCTTTTACTTTTTCCACTGTATATTAGTCAATGCTTTATTAGTGTCACAGAATTTTATTACTTTGGGGCCTAATTACTAGCAATTCTTTTCTGAATTATAGTTGAGCTCTTTCCCAACGGATACATCCCCCTTTTGCCTTTGCCTTTCCCAAACACAAGACACCTGGCCTTCCCTTGTTTTCCCACTGTGATCTGAGTATCCTCTCCCATGCTGGTTCCTTATGTCTAAAACAGGCTCTCTTCTCTTTTGTGCCAAACATCTAAACTCTCCTTAATCAAATCTGTCCTTAATCCCACGTATTCTGCAAGGTATCATGCCTGTTTTGTACAACTTGAAAAGTGTATTGCACTTTCCCTAGCAGTTATCCATATCATACTGCCTGCCTTTTCCCTTTTATTATCTTTTTGTATCCAAAGGTTTAGCTTCTGTTTTCACTTACTGAAGTGCTTATTTTGAGGACAATGAGTTCTGTCACTCCAGAGAAGCATGTATTTTTTCTATTATTTAAATATTTTCTTCATTACTATTTAATTATTTACTGCATAAATTTCAACAGAGTTAAGCTGCTGGAAATGCAAGAGAACAACCAAATATTTATAAAAATAATTAATAAATCTTTTATAGATACTGCCTTTTTACTCCCTTCATTTTAACGTTCAAGAATAGAAGGGAACTCCCTTCTGCTGGTCTGTGTGACAAAGGGTAAAACGTGGGCATTAGGAAAGGAAAGTGGTACAAGCTGGAAGGAGAAACGACAAGTTATTTACAGCATGAAATGGTCATGAATAACACTGTGAAATATAAAATTTCTCCCTGCCTAAATATCTTCTAGGTTCTCTACTCCACACAGTCACTGCTGGGATTTTTTTTTAAACTGCAATTTTGGGAAGAAAACACATTTGGTACCCTTTTATAATATATTTTTAAAAGAAAATGAAAACCCATAGTCTCTCTAGGAATATTTAGCCCTTATAAGCCTTTTAGAGAAAAAGAAATGCAAATAAACAGCCCAAATATATCATAGTAAAATTGTTAAATGATAGCATTACTTTTCAGAACTGAAGTAATGCTCTGGTTTTGGTATGAACGTGTGCCGACCTTTGTATTGCAGGATTCAATGTCAACCATTTAGACATTGCCCCGAGGTATGCCAGCATCTTAATGGGGATTTCTAATGGAGTCGGGACCTTGTCTGGAATGGTTTGCCCTATAATTGTCGGAGCAATGACAAAGAATAAGGTAAACGGCAATACAGTTTTCAAATCTTCCAGTTTAATACTAATGGTTTAAAGAAAAAGACCTTTCCATAGTACAACTTGCCAGGATATCTGTATTAGAGTCTGGGACCTCCAGGGGATAGTATCCAGGAACTTGCAAATTTGAAGCATGCTTCACTATATGCTCACCAGGACAATGCTTTTATAGGCTAATCAATAGTGATTTTTCAAAGAAAGATGGATATAAATAATTGGAAACAGGACACTTAAGTGTTTCAGCTATGCTGACTATCACAGCCTCAATCCCTAATTTAAATCTTTCAGCTCAGAAGCGTTAGATAAGTCTATGCACTAGGCTGATTTAGCAAATTTCTTCTTTACAGACACGTGAAGAGTGGCAGTATGTCTTCCTCATTGCTGCTTTAGTTCATTACGGAGGTGTTATCTTCTATGGCATATTTGCTTCAGGAGAGAAACAACCCTGGGCAGACCCTGAACAGACAAGTGAAGAGAAATGCGGCTTTATTCATGAAGATGAACTTGCTGAAGAGACAGGGGACATTACTCAGAATTATGTAAATTATGGTACCACCAAGTCTTATGGTGCTACAACCCAGGTCAATGGTGGCTGGCCTAATGGTTGGGAGAAAAAAGAGGAATTTGTACAAGAGGAAGTACAAGACTCATACAACTACAAGGAAGGAGATTATTCATAACAAACCTAAATATTGGGTATATTTTGTAGTGTTTGTGATTAAATTCATCGTGATTGTTTGCACACAGAAATAAAATGTGGTATAAACATGTAAACACATATCAAACAGGAAGGTCTTACTGTAAAAAAAATACATCGAAGTGCAATCTGTATGAGTTGTGACGTCATCACTTTCATTAGGTTATATTTGTTCTATAAACATTAGAGTTTTAAGGGTTTACTGGTCAAAACTATAGAGGCATTAGATACTTACAGTATACAAGAGCTAAAACTCATAACTAATGATTAAAGCACAACTAAGCAACCAAGTTGGCACATCTAATGCTCTTTTTAGAAAGCCAAAATTACTTGATCATTAAAAATGCACTTATATATTTGTTACACTGTATTGAAAGAGATTGTGTTAAATACACACGTTTACTCAGTGCAATGTAGGAATTGTGTGTTTAGTCTAAGACAAGAGCTTTCTTTAAGAAGAAAGGTTGAGTCCTAGGCACTTACAGAGGATTGATCCAGTTCCTTTAATGGTAATTGCGTCAAGCCTAAAGAACAAATAGGGCATATTGTATGTTTATTGTGATTACATGCTGCAGGCTACTCTGTGATTAATAAAGGAATTATTTAGGAGTTTTATACTGAATGTTTGGGCACAAATTCTTATTTCTATTCTTTACAGAATCTTATAAAATTATAGGCATTTTCCTGTTCTTCCCTGCATTTATCAACCAATATAAAACCAATATATAATGTTAAGTCTGACTTTTCATGCAGACTGTCAAATCTCTTTATCAAAAAGCCAAGCTTTATTATTCTATTCTTTGCAGTATATTCCAACTTTGTACTGGTGTCTTTAGAGAAAGAAAAATCCAATATAACCTAGAAAAAGATATAGTCTTTTACAAAATTCCAAAGAGAAATTTACTATTAACAAGTAGCCCTATGAAAAAGGATGTATTTGTTTTGCAGAATATTTTGAAGCCAATAGAAGAAACAGAGAATAATTTAACCCTTACTCTTCCCTTAATAGCTTTCATATTTTTACACATCGTGCCACAGTTATATACATAGATATAAGTTTATTGAAGATACTGTAATTATAGAAAATGTTGCTATTTTAGAGATCCCTGAAATAAAAAATGTATTTGTCTTTCGATTAAACCTAATAATAATGGACACTGAATATGAGTAACATATAAACTCACAATAAACCAAAGTGGTAAATAACTAGTGTTGGGTTGAAAGAAGCCAACAAGCATCACGCTTGTCTTTTTAGCGAAACTCAACAGTGACTGCAACATTAGTGTACCAAGCAATAAGTGCAATGCATTATGAAGTGCATAATCTTCTAGACTATATATTAACCTTCATTTAGCTAGTTGTATATATTTGGGGTTGTTGGGATTAAACCAAACTGAACCAACTCAAGTTAGCAACACCAGACCACTTCTTAATACTCTAAAATTACAACAATGATCCATTTCTTAATTCAATCAAATGATTATTATTGTATGTAATAATCCATTCTGGATTCTTGGTCTGTTCATTGTATTGTGCTAGTGATTGGAAACCCTGCTACCGCAATATACAACTTGAGGATTGTTTCTTCTCCTTTTTTTTAATGCAAATCATACCTTGACCTTAAAAAAAAAGTATTTTGCTTTGTGCCTCAAAGTGATGTAAAACGTGACCATAGCTTTTGCTGTGTTTAATGAAAAAGATGTGGACTGTGTCACTTTTGTTGCTGCAAAAAGTGTTAATAAAATGCTCTATTTATCCTTTTATATAAAAAAGGACCATTGTAGCTTCTTGTCATTTTTTTAGATGCGCTTTAATATAGGTCACTCAAATTACAGTCACTGCAGAACAAATTCTGCTATTGACATGGAGATAATACCTTATGTCCCAGCTGGGAGCTATGCTGAACACCCAACGTCCTGCATTGTCTGCTCTCTCCTCTGACCATGCACAGGTGTGTGGTGGAAAAGGCACCTCACTCTAGATTGTTGTTCCTCCTCTCGTAAGGATGGTTGGAGTAGATGCAGAAGAAAAAGGAGCGGTAGGATCAGTGTGCCAGCCAATGCAACGAAACTGGGAAAGACAGACTAGTCTATGTTAGCTAAGGAGCTGGTGTGGATCAGCATTCTCTAAAGAAAATGAAAAGCACCACAGAAGTTCTTGGAATTTGTTTCCTTTCTTGCTCCTGCAACAAGACTCCTTAACTGAAACATAATGTTACTTTCCGTCCGTCTTTAGATAGACCCTACAGGAACCAGTACATTCAAGAAATCCTACGTTAAAAGTAAGTCTTCTTCTAACAAAATTTTTACTGTTCAATAATTTTCTTGCACTAAATAGAAGAATGTAGAAACACCAAATTGAACAAAAGGCTGCAAAACACTAGACAGAAGAGTAATGGGCCCAGTGTTTCTCACCAATAGGCTAGTTGTTAAGAGATGCTGAGTCAGGTAACGCACAAAGTTACTGCTAATTGTTTTGATGGACTGGTGTGATGTTGCCATGGAAACTTCCTGAAAGATCCAAAAGTGGGATAAATAGGGGCTATAGAACTACTGTTGTATTTATTGTGGTAAGCGGACAGCTCAGAAAATGAAAACTAGTTAACAACATTAAAATAAATTCTTCTTAGCTTTCAGTCTAATCTTTAGGTTCTCTGTCTTTTGTAATTGTTTCAATAATTTCCTTTCATTAAGTATAGGTAATTTTTTTTTTCTTATTAGCTTGATATCTTTTAATTACTTAGAACAAAGGAGAGACTTCAATCCAGGCATTAGACACTGCATTGTTCAGCCATGCACAACTCAGTGAGAACTCAACAATTGCCTTCAAATGCTACACCACTCTAAGATCCTCCACATTCTCTTCGTAGCTCTCTGCTCTCCTTTGACTCCTTTACTTCCTCTTTAAATGGCAGAGCAGAGGAGTGCGTTCTATTGGGAAGGAAGAGAAGCATGACAGGTTTTAAGATTTTTTTCTTCTTCACAGGCTTCTATTCACAGAAACATACAGGAATCATCAGGAACATGACTGAGAAAGAAGGAGAAATGGAGAAAATAATTGGGTTCTTGCAAAGGATGACTAAGTGAAGACAAGCAGCAACAGCTGGATCTGTTTTAAGGAAAAGGAGAGAGTTGAGGGGACATGACCCTTCATCTAAACTCCTATATTTCTTCTCAGTAAATACATTTATGTTTCTCCCTTGCTACTTCAATTTTATAAAGTAGCATTGCTAAAATGTACCTCTTCAGCCTCTTCTGAATTGTGCCCTTTCTGCCCAGAGACTTCTCTTCTGCACTCAGATTCAAAGACTAGCCCCGCAGATGTGTTGCACTTGTATGGCCCAGTGTTCTTCTTTTGGAACTCTTAGCAGCTCAAACCATCCCCGTTTATCAATCAGACTGTGTTCACGGTCAATTGATAGTTTTGTCCTGTCACCCATTTCTGTTCTGTTCTCCTACCTGGTACTCTCTGCTCACTTACTATGTTGAAAAAAATGGAAAGGAATTGTTACTCACATTTTTATTTATTAGTTAGTTATCTTTTCAGTGAAGAACAATAAGTAAAAGGAAGGGGCAGAATCCAGGCTCCATTAAAATCTTTAGAAAAGCTTTGAGTTTAGATGGCCTAGAATACCACCTCAAATGTTCACCTTTATGTTCTCGGATGATTTCATACAGATAGTATCACTCAACCAGTGACAATTTTTTAAATATTTGAATCTGCATTGGTCAGATCCCTTCTGTTAACACACACTCTTTGCTGCAGAGATAAAGCTATCATAAAGTGCTCTTTGCTTTCAGAAGTGATAATGAAATTCAATGGACCAAATTTCATAAAACCACTTTTCTATGGGGGAAAAGAAAGCCTCAAGGTAAAGGTTGAATAACAGTGACAAAAGAATATCTGCAAATATGAATGAAGTCCTCTTTCAGCGTGAAGCTAGGAATAGGAATGAATGTGGAAGTCAGAACAAATGTCACAGTTCAAAGCCGTACTGTTAGAAAGATAACATCACAGTCTTAGTTGCTGCCTCTGAAAGATGAAATGTTTTGTTCGTTTCAGGATAAGCTGTGAAGGAGTTTGAAGTCTAGTCTAAGTCTAGATTAACTACTTACCAGCAGCTGCTTTTGTACTTATTTTGAATTTGTCTCTGTTTTTTGTGTGAATAATTTTCATTGCACAGGAAGATTTAGGAGTAAATAATCAAAGGACCTAGAACTACAGTCAGATAGTTTAATTAGATATCTATGTATATCCTCTCTGGTCCAGCTAAGGTGTCTGATGTTGCTATTCTAGTTTTACTTAACTCTTTTTCACTCTGTTGTAACCCAAAGCACGGTAAAGAATGAAATGTATTATATATTTACATATGTACAACTACTGAAGCTTGTGTACTTAGTTATACTGAGGCCAAGCGCTTAGGCAGTTTCTTCCATGTTTAAGAATTAATGCTACAAAATGATTGTTGGCAAATGCCTCCTTGGTAAGGCTTTTAACATCAGAAACATATAATCCTTGCAATCTTTGCTTTAGGTGAAGCCGCATTCTCTCAAATGCCATGGGTGAGGCATTAGAAAACAATACAAAATAAGATTTTGAGCAACAGTCCAGCCTCTGGTAGGCTCTTATCTACAAGAAAGTAAGCAGACAACAAGTATGAAAGGCAGATGTACTGTCAAACGTAAAATATAAGGGTAAGTTAGAAATTACAGGAAATAAAATATTGCAGGAAATTTAAGGAAAAGCTTATAGATGAGCTGCCAAATTTCCTTGCTTTTGCTCATGCCAGTAGTGAGAAGAAAAAAACTGAATATGAAGTCCTAAATATCTGATCCAACCTATCCTGAATCTAAGGTATGATCACAAGTTGGCTCAGAAGCTGATTACCATCTTCTGGCTGCACCCTACCTTGTTCTTACATAGTTTCTAACACATTTGTCTGTCAGAGCCACGAGGGCACTTATAGGCCTTAATTGTCCTGAGCATCCTGCCCTGGGATCCCCACTTACACCCCCATCCATGACCCAGGAGCCCCATTTCGGCTCAGGCCTGCGCTTCCCTGTCTCTGGTCTGTCTCCTGAACAGAAGTTGGATCTATGTCGTGTCCTTGTCTCCAGTCCTGCATCTGGCCCACCTCCTGTTGCTCCTGAGAGGGCTCTCTGGATAGACCCTGGACCTGATTCATTCCTTGCTGTCTCTGGGACCGTTGATGGAGCTAGCACCCTGCTCTGCCCATGCTGCTCGGAGCCCGTGGGACTGCACCCTGGTCAATAACGGCACAGCCAGCAGCTGGGTCACCCTCGGCTCGCGGCTCATTTCCCTGGTGAGCTGCCTTTCCTGCTCCTCCTGCTCCCTCTTGGACACTTTCCATGTTGCGCCAGTGATAGTCCACAGAGACTTGCCAAACTTCAGATATGGTCCATTCACAATCCTGAAATTAAGTACCTTTATCAGTCCCTGAAGAAGCAGAACTGTGCATAATTATCCTATCATTATTTTCTTAAAATACAATGAAAGATACTGACGTGTTGGGCAGGAGACTGAACCTGTTAGATACCAGAGCATTCTGCTTCTTTAGTAGTAGGTGTTGGATTCCTACTTAAAGTCTGTCTCTATATCCACCATGGATATAGCCACGGTGCCAGTTTCCTTTTTCCAGGAGGAGCTATGTTTCATTCATCAGTGACTTGATGGAACTGAATGAAGTTTTCATCCTTGCATCCACTACAGGCTTTCTCCACTGTGTAGAGGAAGCTGCTATTGCTATTCTCAGCCCTTCTGCTGGAGATGATCAGCATTTGCTTGCAGTTTAGCTTTTCAAAACTGATATATCTTTACTTCTGGCTGGGCACTGTTGCACGATGGCATACTGTCTGCTCACAAAAGTATGCAAGTAAATGATGTTCTTGATCTTTGCACTAACCAGGGTCAGCAACTAAAACTGATGGTTTGCAAAATTGGAGATCAAGGCATTATAAAGAGTAACACAACCTTGTACGACTGACAAGGAGTTGATGATGAGGTGTTGCTTGTACCCTGAGGATCAAATGGCAGGCTCTGTGCACAAAGAATAGTCAATGAGATGAACATTTGACATGGACAAACAGTACAGCTATAT